AGATGTTGTGCAAATGCTTCAGCTGGCATAGACACCATAGCATGTGGGGACATGAGAATAATGTTTAAAGGCTTCACAGACTCGTAATGAAGAATAACTTCAAAAGGACTCATACTTATAGACTGATTTACAAAAAATTTATATGTACTTTGAATTGTTGGGACGATCAAATCCCAATTTCCAAGATTGTCCTTGAAAATGGCAAGATTACACAAATCAATAGCACGTCTGGGTTGGATAAGGGTACGGCATACAACACTTGACTGAGAGGTATCGGGAACATGGGGTACAATACCTAGATTCATCGGAAAAGTCCGATTACTACCTAAGGAGGTGTTCTCACTCTCATCAAAGTCATTGGATTCTTCAAGTTTAGGTACAAAGACTTAATTATCTAACATTTCATCTATTATATTATTTTGTTCGTCAATGACTAAGGTTCCGCTAGGGCATTTGGAAGAGATGGAGCCAACGTCTTTACAGTTGAAGCACTGCAAGCGAGAAGAAGTCCTTGGAATTTCAGAAATTGTAACCTTATTTTTGAACACATGAAGAACATTTGACGGGGAATGTCTCCTGATAGACTTAAGAGGAAGTGGTGTTGAGGATATTGGTGTATAGTGGTTACCACGCGGTTTATATGGAGTACCAATAATCAACTCAAAATCTCGGGCTAAAGAGTAAGCCTGATCAAGAGTAGTGACACCCCGAAGGAAAAGCTCGCGCACCCGAAGGAAAAGCTCACGCCTAAGATCATCTCTTAGACCTTGTCTAAACCTACTCACAGTCAGGGCCTCATCCTCAATGACATGACATTTAATTCGAAATTCCTCAAATTCAGCAATATACTCAAGTCACTAACCGATTCCCTTGTTTAAGAGCATTCCATTGAGTACAAATCTCAAAATCTAAGTGACCGTCAAAAGTAGGAACGCCTACTTTATTGTTTCTAAAGGAACGCTCCTTATGACGTGAAAGAGAATGAATACTATGACGGTTATAACCTCGTTTTCGCTCATGAACCTGACCCCTATCCCTACCAACGTGTCGAAAATATTTTTGATCACCTTGTCGATAATGATTTTGTATATTATTAGACACTTCAAAATTATCAACACCAGTCGAATGAGAAATTTGTTTAAACTTGTTTAGACCAACAACTATGCTCCTACGCTCTTTAAGATTAGTAGCCATCTCAGTTTGGACAGCTGCTAATTGATTTGGAACTGTCGTTGGTTAGTGGCAAGTTGTGCTAATTGTCTGGTGAGGGCATCAAATTGGGATGGGTCCATTGTCAGGTTATTGAAACTAGCTATGATAAGATGACCACTACGCAATTGCATGCAACATACTACCAGCTAAATGAAGTGTACTGGAGTTAGATTCAACAAAATGACCATTATGCAATAGCATGCAATGAATGAAGTGAAGTGTGTGGAGAGATCAATAAACAACTCGTTTTAAAATGAAAACAAATTTTTTTCTTTTTTTTTAATTATTATTATATATATATATATATTTTTTTTTTTTGGATTATGTGAATTAAATTATGACAAGCTAATACTGCTGATACATGTAAACGCAAAGCAGAGGTCAAATACTAGTCAAAAATCCGATCCCGTAAAATAAGTGGGGTAAAATGGGGATTTAACAAATCAAGGGAGTCGGTCACGTGAACTTAAGATAAAATGATGAGAA